CAGCTGGACCTTGAGCCTCATACGACCTTGGCCTCAACCTTGCAGTCCTTGAGGAGGAGCACCAAATGCCAGCGCCACACTTCGACCACCCATCGCCAAGGGAGGGTGGTGGTGTCCTCTGACGATGACGACGACGACGATGATGGCGGTGATGATCTTGCTGCAGGCGGTAGTAGGGCTACTGGTGGAGATGATGTCGATTGGGAGGACATCCAAGCTGATAAATGAGTTCATTGGTAGTTCTTCTTTTTCTTCTTTTTTGGTGCTTTATGATAAAGGAGGAGAAAATTAGAGGGGTCAACAACTTTTCGACGTCATGGAGAGGTTGCTGCAGCAGGAGCTTCATGTTCTATCCTATGAGAGTAGTCTTCGTTAGGTGAGAGTTTGAGAGTCGCTCAAAACTCTATTTGTGTAATAATGCTACCTAAGTACTCTTTATGTATGGGATATGGACATGCATTGATCTGTGTTGTAGCTTGTCATATAAGTGTGCTAAAATGCTTGTGTTTATATGTGTTACATGTTGTGTGGTGCCTGATTTTTCCTGTGCTGTTACAGCAAGTATGGCAGTGCCGCACCCAGGCCTGGCAGTGCCGCTCTGTGGCAGTGCTGTGGCTAAGGAGTGGCAATGCCACACCCAGCTGTCACAACAATCTTTATTGTGCATGAACTGTCATTTGCATCATGATTATCAACCTATTCGTTTTGGCTTATACGATCGTGAATTATAAGCTGGAACAGTATTTTTGTCTCACACCAAACCAACCAGTAGTACCTCTGGCTTATAATCCACTATCGTTTCAGCCGAAACGAACAAGCTGTATATATCTGACACAGTGTGCAGCACCCCATAGGAGCATAGATGTTGGGGGAGCCCCATCACTTTCACTAAAATATGAATCTTTGCTTCTTATGCTAATTTAATAATTCAGTTCTCCATTCACATATTTAGGGGGAGGCTCTACACCCATGGCTTGAATATCTCAATATTTATTTCTAATTGGGTTGTCATCAATCACCAAAAAGGAGAGATTGAAAGTGCAATCAAGCCCTAACTGTGGGTTTTGGTGATAATGACCACGCAATTAGAGGACTAATGAGATTTATCGAGATGACAGGCAGGGAATCAATATTTGAGGATGTTACACGAAATGGAGAAGCCCCCAATTACAAACGTTGACGGCTTCAAGCTCAAAGGAGGTTTAAATTCTTTTATATTTCGAATTTAAGTATAGAAAAAGTCGTACTATAAAGGGAGATACAATGCTTAAGCTAACATGTTACCAAGTGCTCCATCTTACTCATACATCCTCAATTACTCAGCTAAGACAACCAGTACTTCACTCTTACCCTTATTGTCTTGCCTGGTGCGGCAGTACCGCACCTGGAGAGAGGCACTGCCGCTGAGCGGCACTGCCGTAGTTAAGTCACAGCACACCGTTGGGCCTTAGGGGTATTTATACCTTTCCCTTTCCCTTTTAATGGCTCTCTTCTCGCTGCCCAACCGTTCAGTTCATGGAAGAACAGAAAACCGTTCTTCTCTCTCTCCTCCATTGGTGACCTTGAGCTCCCAAGCTTCTCCATTGATTTTCCCATCAATCCATGAGAGAAAAAGGTGCCAAACTTAATTAGAGAATAGATCCTTTGATTCCTTGACTCTAAAGAGCACTTGGTTCATGTTTTGGCAGGCAGTCGTGTTTATTACTCTTGGAGCTTGGCTCCTAGCCGGCTAGAGCGTCGCCCGTGGAGCTTGCCAACCCGTGTGGCAGTCCCGGGAGGTTTGTAACCATCTCTTGAAGCTAGTAAACCCACCTCTCATCTCAAGAATTAACTCTCTTGACTTGAGAACAAGGAAGGGTTGCAAAGCCCACAGCCTTAGTGGCTAACCTCAACAACGTGGACTTAGGCAAGCTTTGGTGGCGAGCTGAACCACGAGATAAATCCTGGTGTCACATTGTGCTTAATTTACTTTACTTGCATTTCAGATTGTTGTTGAGGTGGTTTATAGGGTTTGAGGCCGATCTACTTGTGTGTGGTGTTTCTACCACTTCTAGCTGTTGATCTATGATCCATACACCTGCAGGAAGCTTAGTAATTTCTGCGATCTAAGTTTCCATTAATAGATTTTGAATTGTGCTTCGAGGTTGTCTGCAGCTCCGGCAGTGCCGCGAGCACAGAGCGGCAGTGCCGTGGGTGCAATTTGATGTTTGGTTAAGTTTTGTTTTAATAGGCCTATTCACCCCCGTCTAGGCTAACCAGAGATCCTACACACTAGGTTTCATCAATTATCCAAAATGAAACTAGGGCTTTCATGGTGTCATCTTCGTTGCCACTATCGACGCCGTCGGTCCTTTGACTCGCTTCGTGCTCATGACTGGACCCTTCTTCTTGGTGACGGTTAACTCAGTCGTGCCTTTGACTCACCCAGTGACAAGGGATGTTGTTGAACCTTTGCCCCGCCCAGCAACAGGGGTCGCCGCCACCGTGCCTTAGCCCCACCCAACGGTGGTCGATGTCGCTGCGCCATTTCCCTGCTCGACAACAGCTGACACCACCGTGGCTTTGATCCATGTTGGTAATGATTAACGTGTCACTTGTTTTAAGTAGTCACCCTATGTTGTTTATATTTCTTAGCATCTTTTACTAAGTTGTCATCCCTAGTGTTAGTGCTAGAAATGCTTGTTGGTACTACCTAGTGCCACTTCTAGAATGACACTAAGAAGTACTTTAATATTTCATGTGACTAGAAAGAATATATATAAATGAAAGGAATCTGCAAGCACACAGATAATTATACCATTGTAGCACTTTACCCGAGAGTATTCCAGGTATCGTTATTTATATTTCACCACAGGGAAGTTCTGGCACGGACATGTATTGATAACTTATGCTATTGATGGAGAAGTAAACCATAACCAATATTCTACTCATAACAGGGATAAGTCATAGGATAAGATATATATATATATATATATATATATATATATGATAAGTATTGATCAATGATAATGATAAATAACTCTGAGTACTTCTTTTTATGGCATTAGCATGGTCAATTAGAATATTAGAGGAATAATTCCTAAGTCATTCTTAATTACAAGTAAAAGCATATATTGATTAGTGCAATTATACCTAATAATCATTGCTAACACCATCGTCATATCTACATATAAGGGATATTACTAAGGAAGATTAAGAACAGAGCTTGTCTTCCTTCGTAACCGCATCCTACGTGCACCTACATTCAGAGAGTGGAATACAAATGACTCAACGGGAGTGTCACATCTGCAATCTACCACATGACGCGGAATATAGGGTGTGTCAGCAGGTAAACAACGTATAAGCACCACGCTTACACAATGTCGACCACCTACCCATGGATCCTTAGAGTGAGCGCTATACGAACTTATGCATGAACATGATGATAATCCAACTATACTAAGCATATAATCAAAGTAAACGATGAACATTATAATGAAGAACATAAATAAGATAAATATTAATATTGTCATAACAATTGTAGCAAGCACATAAAAGTAATGGAGATACAAAAGAGAGGGGTACAAAGATTATACCAAACCACGCTCTTGACACGATCAAAAATCCAAGCGAAGCCTGCTTGCCTCTCTCTAGACCTAGCCTAACTAGCTATGCCCTAGAATTGATGGAGCTCTGAGGATGATTAGGGTTTCTGTCTTCTCAAATGACTTATGTTTCTAGGGGGTGGCAGTGGCTAGTATATATAGGCCGGAGCGTCCATCGTGAGCCCTTGGATCAAACCGACTTAAAAGACGGTGTAGATGCAACCTAAGAGACGGTGGAGAACCGACATAATAACGGAGGCTGACATGTGAGCCCCCAGAGGCCGGGCGGCCTACAGGTGGAGCCGGCCTGGCAGCCACTCGCGGTCTGCCTCAGCGTGGTGTCCTCTGGAACCTTCTAGTGTCCGTTTGGCGGTGGATAAGTGCGATTAATTCTGACATCTAGGTCCACCTTGACGGTTTTCTGAATAAACCCTACAGAAATAACAGATTCACCAAAACTCGTGGAATTTATTAGTTCAGACCCCTAGACCTTTGTTGGTGATTGCTTTCATGCCCTTATTCATGTTTTATTGACCGTTTATAATTGTTGTTAACTACCGTCAACAATCCATCCGGCAAAGCACCCCCCGCTCTGCAAGACGAGGCACATGACGGACGGCTTCACCTCTTCGTCAGAGTCAATGAGGTACAAGACGTTGTTGTGCAACGAGATCCATCCCCTTCCACCACGACCGCCCGAGGGGGCAAACTGGTCGCGCTCGTTGCGGCTGATGGATATTGCCGCAGGCTCGAGTGGCGATGGAGGAGGCGGCGGCGAGGGTTTGGGAGAGGAGGAGGCAATGATGGGATTTGAGAGAGGAGAGACGAGGAGCACTCAATAGCCTGCGCCTAGATTTCATTTATTAGAACTAGAAGCGGCTCCAAAGGCAGACACCTCTCAAAGTACAGTCATTTGCAGAGGCGGTTGGTATATATAGAGACAGATGTAAGAACACGAGAGGCCGTAGTTTTTTTTTACTGTGAGAGCTTTTATTCTACTACCCATTCCTCTTAGTGAAATACACGCCTTCTCGAAAAAAAAGTTTCCGCGTGCCTATTTTTATTTTTATTACTTCGTGCTATTTTTCTGTACAAATAGCCACATCATAATCATATTTTGGGGGAAAAAATGGCCACGTTCTGACTGATATATATACTTCTAGTTGGCTCACAGAGATAGATCTCACGGCAAGGACTACATCCACAACATAGAAGACAAGCAACACAAGCTTATTGCCCCAAGCTTCAGCCCTTCAAATCCCATGGCTGCGCTCGGTTCTTTTGTTACCTCCACAGGCGTGGCACTTCACACCTCTGTGATTCTTCATCGTCGCCACGGGAATCCAGTGGTCTCCGCATCCTCTCATCACCAACGAAGTCTTAATGGCTTAGCGACGAATTCTTCAGGCATGAACAATGCCTTACCTATCAGAGGAACTACTACACGGTAAACGCATATCTTGCCATCAGCTGCCGTAGTCTTACCTATCAGAGGAATAATGCCTCCTAGGATTCACCATGTAGCAAGTCTTCTCCAGAGCTTGTATCTTGGCAGATATACAGTAAGTTTCATGCAGCTACTTCGTCACTTGTTTTGGTTCAGAATTCCTGCAGTTGGTCCGAGCCCTGCAAATCCGTCACCGTCAGGAGGAAACCTCCCAATACCCAAGATTCTTCCATTGTGAGTGAAGAACAGATACGTGCGTTGCTTGTTAATTGCTTGTTTCTGAATGTATCTGATCGATTTCCTTCTCGCGCGCCAAACCCATCCGCTTCTCAGGGCCAAGTGGGTGTTTAGTGCCGCCATTTTGCAGTGCCTATGTACAGAAAGTTCAGAACATTAGAAGGTAAACAGGGACTGTATGTTCATCGATTTGTGAAATCATTTCCTACAATCCCTAGCATGCATATACATTTTTTGATTGCAACGTACTTTCGTGGTAGCAGATAAGATAGAGAAGACGGCAGAGGTGGCAATCGAGGTGATCGACAAGGTGGCAGAGGCGACGGAGAAGGTTGGCGACGAGGTGGCGGAAGAGTTCCCCGGCAATAAGAATATCAAGAAAGCAGCCTCCAAGATTAAGAAGGTCATGGACGTGATCGAGGAAGATGCCGATAAAGCTGAGGCCCTGATCGAGAAGGTTAGTTTCATTACGCAATCTATTGCTAGTTGGCAGTTGCTACTACATCAGATTCAGAGCACGTTAGCCGTTTGACTACGGCAGCTGCTAACTTCATGAGATTGACCAATTGCAATTCTGTTTCACTATAACGTGAAAATCGAGCTTCAGCTGATCCTCTTTTTCTTAAATTCTCAATCCTCTAAAAACGCCCCTCTCATTCTTAGAGAAAAAAAGAACAACCAGCAATTTTTCTCAGTCCCTTTTCTTACTTCCCTGTTCATTGACATCTCGGGCCACCGCAACATCGTACCACGCGAGCGCAAGTCTGTCAAGCTGAGCCGAGCCGCCACAATCCCGCGAGTGTATACGAATAATCCTTAATTATTTACTAATGACAAAGATTACAAAACATGGATGAGCCGCTTGACAATTTTTTTGGCAGAGAATATTCTCCAGTCAGGGATATCCATATCAAACTCGTCCCGTGAACCAAACACTACTTGTTCATTTTGAAGTTAAATTTCTCTAACTTGATCAAAATTTTAAAAACATATAATAACGTCTAAAAGTTCACATAAATGAACCACTAAAACCGATTAAATGGATAATTTAATGCTGTAGATGTTGGTATATTTTTCAAAAAAAAAACTTGGTCAAAATTAGAAAGACATGTTAAAACTAAGGTGGCATATAATTTGAAAAGAGGCAATACTCGAGTCATGAAATACTTGGCTAGTATAAGGTGTAGAGGTGAAGCCGACTAAATAAGTCCTTAGTCAGCTCCAACAATTGTCTTTTAAACTATCTTTAAATATATTTTTTTATATTTTAATAGAAAAGAGAGAAAAACTAATTCTTACCACACATTTTAAGGTGAAGTGAGAATATCACTTGGAGTTATCGATGTTAAAAGCTATTAGCACTATTGAAAAAGTCTAGCCTTAGAGCTAACCGTGGTGCCCTTAGCATGCGTTCTTTCTCGTTACACGGCTGCTATTGCTTGAAGTTCATTGTACAATAGTACTGTCTTGCAAGTTCCCCACTTCTCATGTTCTTTGTTTTATTCGTTTGTTGGAGGTACTACGTGCTGATCTGGTAGTCTAGTACTCCGTACCTAGCATCGTCGTGAATCACGACTCGTGATAGTGACTTCTTGGCTTCTTGCATGGAAAAAATTGTAAAAATAATACTCTAAAGAGTGACTCTTGATTACGATGAGACTTGAGTGGACGAAAAGAGTAACTCTTGATTATGACGAGACTCAAGTGGATGATAAGTAGATTCATTTATGTTTATGAATATGGATCCCGTATCAAATCTACAAATGACCGATATTTCACGTTGTAATTTTGCAAATCGCCGGCATGCATGTGAAGCACGGGCTGTCTAGGTTGCATGCAACACTATTCCATGTTTGGCGGGGATGGGCTGGTTTCTAACTGAACGAACGCTCTGCGCCGCGCGATTCCCTCTGCGGGGCTGTGGCGGTGGCGTGGCGTGGAAAGCGTGCGCTACCTTTTTCCAATTATTTTCCTTTTTGTTTTTTTCTACATTTTTTTCTCTCTATTTTCATTTTTTTTATCTTCTTTTCCATCTGTACTAGTTGTATCCTATGATCACAAATCTACAAATGTTACGATGAAAACTTATTGTGATAGATTGTGACACGTAATAAGTTAGGTATATAAGCTATGCTTGTCTATGCTTTGTACCCTGCCGGATAGAGTTCGAACTCTCTTGGAGGCGGATTTGTTAGACGGAGGAGGCATAGTTTATCTGTGCGTTGAAAAAATCCCATTGTCTGTCCCACGTCAAAGCATAGGTATAAGGCCAGCCCAATCTCACGAGAGCTGCAATGCCGCTGTGTATAAATGGGGCATAGGTTCGGAGGTTTTCTCAACCTACGTGAGAAGGTTTTCTTCTTAAGCACAATGCCCGGAGGTCTCTCTTACACCCGCATGTCAAATTTTTTTTTACTTTGTAACTTTAAAAAAACCATAAATTTATTCAGAAAAAAAAGAAAGTAAAAAAAGTTATTATGAGACCTTATGGTGATAAGATGTCACCTAATATGTTATGTATATAAGTTATGTGTATAACATTGTAACTTTTTAAAAAAGGAAAATATAAAAATATTTAAAAAAAAAAAGGAAAGCCAAAAAAGTCATGAGGAGAAATTGCGGTGATAAGTTGTAATATAATAAGTTGTATAGATAAGTTATGCATATAACTTCGTAACTATATAAAAAAGAAAGTTATGGAAATAGTTTTTCTTAACAAAGGCTCCGTTCGCTTGTCTTAAAGTTTGGCTTGTTCGGCTTGTTTTTTCAGCCGGAACAGTATTTTTCAGCTAGTTTCAGCCAAAGTTCAGACCAGCGAACGGGGCCAAAAGAAAGTAAAAAAAAAGTTATGATGACAAGTTGTGGTGATAAGTTCTCACATATTGTAGAATGTGATACGTACAACTTTGTATTTTTCTTGAAAAAAGTTGCGAAAATAATTGTTGCCAAAATTAAAAAGTTGTCAGTTCTTTTTAGTAGCTACAATTTCGTAGCCCCTCGTGTAAAATATTTCTATACATTGAGGGGAACAATTTGCTTGGTGAAAGACAGCGCTGCTGACCACACTTTGCTAAGGGCCTGTTTAGTTTCCAAAAAGTTTTATGCAGTAGTCATCACATCGAATCTTGCAACACATGCATGGAGTACTAAATGTAGATGAAAAAAAAACTAATTGCACAGTTGAGTGAGAAATCACGAGACGAAACTTTCGAACCTAATTAGTCCATAATTAGACACTAATTGTTAAATACAAATAAAAGTGCTACAATAGACAAAACCTAAAAAATTTTACATCTAAACGCGCCCTAAGACGAGGTGTATGCGTGTAGCGAACTAAAGTAGTTGGCAAAACTGGCCTTTAGGATGCATCTACATGTGGTTATCTTTTGCCCAGTTATTAGCATAGCCCTAGCTCAAGGATCTGATTTAGATCTATAGTTTGTAGTTTAATTTAAAATGGTTTGAACATTGGTATTTGATCTAAACTATAAACAAAATGGATCGTCCAGGTACAAGTACTCTCAACTTTTCTCCAGCTCTAGAACCAATATTTCATATAGAGCTACAAATACTCAGCTTAAAAAATCCATGAATTAAGCTCAGAAAAATGGTGTCGTTATATATAAATATAAAGCGGATAAGTATTGTGCAGGTTGACGAGATAAAGAAAGAAGTGGATTCAATTGTGGATCCCATAATCAACAAGGTTATTGTCTATACTAAAATTTGGAAAACAAGAACGCGGGAACTCGAAACTTTCAGGATTGTGTCATCAAGGAATCGATTAGATGTGAATCGGTATCAGCTGATTTAGATGCGATGTCAGAATCGGCTATTTTATAGATGACGTCAGCAGATAGCGTCGATGGGCTATGCTTGAATGACGCCAGAAAGATGTGTCGGACTCTACAAATAAAAAAAATTAGGGTCCAAGTTATTATTAAGTTAGAAAGTTTTCTTTTATTTCAAGAATTGTAATGAGTCGTATTTGAGTAGGATTTATATTTGGGTTCCGGGTATAAATATTAGACCATGGTTATTGTAAAGAAAAACGAACACTTAATCAATACAATCTTTTCGGCTTTCGTCATCGCATTAGTAGTAGGAGTACTGTAGATCTCGACGAGTTCTTCAGTAAACAAGGTTGCATCGACTGATCGACCTCCAGCTTGTTTGTGAGTACCGTCACGACTTGCATTATGCTTGTAATGCTGCATCAGCTGATTGATCTTTTATGAGCTATAATATAAGTTAGTTATCGATCTGTATCATAGTTTATAAGGCTGCATCAGTTGATTGATCTCTTACGAATCATAATATAGATCAAAGTTATCGATCTTATATTAAATAACTTGTTATTTAATACAATATCACCAGTTATCGAATCTGCTAAGATTAGTAAGATTGTCCTTACTGTTTTTTTGGTTGATTCACCAGTTATCGATTTTGTTATAATTAATGTTTTATTAATTATAACAAAATCACCCGATTGAGATAGAGATAGATCGGTATCATATCATCTTAATTGGTCGTCCTTTGATCTGGTCACGCTTTAAATTTTATAATTGATGGCTTAATTCCGCTAGATCGGCTGTTTTATCTCTATTCCAATCAAATATAGTATGCATCCAAAGACATGTTTCAATCTTGAATAAACCCACTAGTTAATGAGATCTAATCTAACGACACTACCATTGCTGCATCGATCCGGTCGAACCTCACTGATAAGACTTTAGATTAGAAATTATCAATTAGTGGTATTATTCATGATCAAGATATGTACTATGTTTGTTTGCTATAACTACATCGGCTATTTTAGCCGATTTGTCTATACTCTCACGCATATAGCATGTTTTCATGAATCTGTCAACGTATAGATGGTTTTATAGATTCTTTGGCTTTAGTTTGTTATTATTATCATAGCTACATCGATCTGATCGAACCTCACTGTTGATGATAATAGATTAGATTCAAACTGTTTATAGATTCATTCATATTAGACAGTTAATTTGTTCGCATGTTATACTCTTTTCATCAAACTTACTGGCTCGACGCTTTATATCGATCATGCTTCATTTAGCCGATGATGCTTTCTGATATTCCATGAGCATCGATCATGCTTCATCAAACTAGAGTTCGGGGAGAACTGACCGGAGCGTCCGGTCAACATGACCGGAGCGTCCGGTCATCCCGCAGAGGCACATAACGGTTCGTTTTTCAGTCGGTGTTATAAATACCACCTCCACTCGTGTGTGGGGGCACTTTTGCTCATTCCAACAGCGGAGAAGCACGTTGGAGAGTGCCAGGAAGAGCAAGGTCCTAGTGAGGTGATTGAGATTTGAGAATCCCAAAGAGAGCCCTCATTAGTGAGATCAAGAGTAACAAAGTGTGCATCCACCCTTCTTATTAGGCTTGTCGTGGTCAAGTGAGAGTTCGTGCTTGTTACTCTTGGTGATCGCCATCACCTAAACGGCTTGGTGGTGATTGGGAGCTTGGTGATCATCCGGAGAGCTTGTGGATGACCCAACTCAA